AGACGTGTGAAGTTGCTAGGTCACGTAATAGGTTCTGGCACTCACTTTCCAGATCCTGAGAAAGTCATCCGGAATCTGTCTAAGCCTACTACTAAAAAGGAAGTCAGTATTTTAGGCCTAGCAAGGTACTATAGGGATATAAGTATTAGGCCTAGAAAGATACTATAGGGATTATATCCCAAATTTTTTTGATATAATTTTACCTCTAACAAACCGTAGAAAAAAAGAGTATTCCAAGCAATATTCCGTGGGGCTCTAAAACAGAAGTATCTTTCAACAAACTTAAAGAGCAGCTGATTAAAATTCCATTCCTGCATACTCCGGACATTGGCAAGCCCTTTCAACTCTATACAGATGCATCTGCATTTGCAATTAAAGCGTGTTTAGATCAAAATAATGAACATGGCAAAGACATGCCCGTGGCATTTTTCACAAAAAACTAATTCTCTGTTAACAACGATGTTCAGCCATTGAAAGAGAAGTGTTTTGCGTCATCGAAGTCTTGAAAAAATGTCACAGTTGGATTTTCGATAAGAAAGTACAAAAGTTCAAATTGTGTCTGACCCCAATACTCTCACCTACTTAACCTAAAGTGCCCCCTCATGGTGCTAAACTGACTCGTTAGGACTTAGCGTTACAACGTTACAATTTGACTATGACATACCGCAAAGGCAGTTGACACGGGAATGCTGATGCCTTATCAAGATAACCAGTTAACTCATAAACAAAATTAAATTACAAAGAAAACCTATTCTCACAACACAAATTTAAAATACTTCTAATGTTTTTAATTTAATGTTGTAGTATTAACTTCTGACAGTGTATATATATATATATATATATAATTTCACATTTATTTTTATGTTAGGTACGTGTTCATTAAATTAATTTTTGGAAGTTGCATATATTGAAGCTTTCACTTTAATTTCACTCATTTGAATAGAAGCTATATTGCTGTTTTTTTTTTTTTTTTTTTTTTTTTTTTTTTTTTTTTTTTGGTATGTTGCAGACTCTCTCTCTAAACTGAGCAGCATTGTCTCCAAAATGACGAATGTGTTTCTTGTGGAGGAACTTATAAGGATGGTCAGTTGTAAATAAAATAAAAGTTGTGTTCTCGGAATAGTAACATCAGAAAAGAGACGTTGATGATTTCAATAATAGAGACAGAGGAGGTGTTACTAGGAACGGAAGCTCACCATAATTGTAATTAATCGGCTATCGTTTAAATTCCTATATATACATATATATACTTATAAAGTATGTTAATTGTTTCGTAAGAAAATTTGGAAAATTCTGTCATTTGGAGTATCTACGATCATTTTGGCGGGCAATTAAAAAAAGGGAATAAAAATATTTCTGTTCGATGTTCTGACAAAAAGAAAGTTCTACTCCACTGTACTTCAACTTGATCTGACTCCCAATAACTAAAATTTTAAACTTTTCTGAATATTGATAATTTCAAGAAAATCCAGTTCTCTAACTAAAGAAACGTTATCGATAAATTTTGCAAAACCAAAAAGTCAAAATTATCATGAAGTTGTAGAGACATTAGGTAAAAATTTTGGAAGCAGGTAAGATGAAAAATATGCAACGCCTTCGCCGGGAATCGAACCGTGGACTTATGGAATACGCGCCCTGCGTACAGACCACCGCACTACGAAGACATGCGAAGAAGACCGGAGAAATAGCTTAAATACTCCCCCTTTTAAAGAGAGACTGGGTTTTTTTAGGGGACCCAATCGTCAAATCCTGGGTGTGGAGAATCATCATCAAACATCCTTTTAATTCGGGCACCACTGTAGAGACATTAGGTAATTTGTTTGGAAGCAAGAAAAAGGAAAAATATGCAACGTGTTCGACTGGAATCGAACCGTGGACCTCTGGAATACGCGCCGAACGTGCAGACCACCACTCTAAAAATGCATGCGAAAGAGGCGAAAGAAATACCCCTTGAACATAAGTATTGTGTTACTTGATGCGGAATTTTAAAGCTATTTTCGTTTTACGACGTGTAAAAAAATGCCCGACAATAAATTCTATAAATTCCCCATCAATTATGATGCTGAAGATTGGGGGTCTTTAAAAATCAAACAATGGATTTTACTGATAGTTGAGAAAAATAATCATATTCCTCATCTAACCATTAATCTGTTTTAGATTATGACAAACCAAATTAATCTCATTTGCAAATTGCTTTCGAACCAGTTCTACACGAAACTTATCTCTACCTTTCTATATTAAGGAATCTGTTTTTAACCTCTTGATATTTAATGTTATTTATATGCAAAAAGATCTTAATAAAAAATATGCTTAAAATGAAATGGCAAGATTTTATTAAATTCACTGCAATAAAAATGTGTAAATTATTTTACATAAACTTTTTCTCCTATTCTCTGATATATTTCTTTGCGAGGATTCTAAGAAGCAGAAATTAGATTTCCAAGCTGAACGCAATAATTACATTAAATAAATTATCCGCGGGAGCTAGTGTTTGCAAGAAATATGTGCTTTACGCTGTAATGCCCTGAAATACATTTAACGGATGGGCAGTAATCAGTGTTTTGTCTCTCATGAAAATCGATTAGGGTATTCACATGTTAAATTATTGAATAGGATTAGCTTAACCACTACGAGTGATGATGGCTTTTATGGCACAATGAATAACTGGTGTTTCTTTTTTTTTTTTTGTTGTTGTTGTTGTTTCTTTCTATTATTGTAATGTGCAAATTAATTTTAATAATCATAGAAATGAGAGAAGTATCGTATAAAATTGGTTTCAGAATTACAAATATTTTTTAACTGTCCAACCTTTAGATATAATTTCAGATAACCCACGTTTACTTTAGTAACTGTCAAGCAAATTATGGATAACAAATTAATAGTAGCTTGTAACTATACATATGCATTTTATGTTATTATTGTATACGAAATAACGTTCCTCTTCAAAAGTTTCCAATACTTAACATACAGTGTGGCGCATGAAATATTATACTAGTCAATCAATCCACAAAATTGCTAATACTATATGATGATTTTAAAAATTCTTTTTGATGCATTTGTTTGTTAAAAATCTAGTAGATGTGAGAAGATACTCTAATACGTCTCGAAATAGCTGTGCGCAAGATGCCCAAAAAGGTCAACTAAACAGAAGGTGAGTTTGCAATATGTTTTGAAGAAACGAGAATTTGGTAGCGATACAAACACATTTTCTTGCACAGCTTCATACAAGACGGGTTCCTTGCTAATATATCTTTCACAGATTGTGTCATCAGTTTAATTTCACTGACTGTATGCTGGAGAAGAATCGACTGCGCTCATCAAGAATCCGCATATCTGAAAATAGAAACGTGTCTTGCCTACCCGTTTCTTGCCTACGTTACTTGCCTACATACTACACACCCAGTAATTTATGCAAGACGGAACCTACCTACATACAGCAGCTGTTGTTCTCGACTCCCTATATGAGATGTCAAATATGCGTATAGTGTCACATCGGTTTTCTGAACTTTACGAAAGTCGGAGACATTTGCCCATGCTTAGCCCGAATTTTAATCCATATGATTTCCTTTTATAGGACATGTGGAAAGCTAATATTTTGGCAAAGAATACTGCAAACGTAACACAAACGCAAGACTTTTATCGTGTAGTTGTGCTGTGCACTTTCAAGAAGAGTAATACGTTGGGACAAATGTAACGGTTCGTTTGCAAGAGGTTATGAAACAAAATGATGAATTTATTAAACACTTTCTTCAATAAAGTAACTTTTTGTGTTCAGACAGTTCATTTATAATATTTTGATAACACATAAATGTGTAATTAAAAAAAAACTCCAAAGTTATGACATTTCATGCGTCCTCCTGTATTTAATAATAAAGCTTTCCTTTCGTAAGGTTCTAAATGCTAGAAACTTTAATCAGTGGTTTTCAGACCCTAGTAGATTAACAAGCGAGTTACTGGTTTAGTCGAAATTAAGATGATAAAGTCTTTCGAAGGTCAAAATAACTTTTTGTTTACAAAGTAAAACTCCGCCACTTGAGGATATTTAAAATAATCTAAGCTGAAATTCAAAGTTAAGTAACATAAATGAAGACTACATAAATCGTGCACATAAGCTGGCTCAAATATTTAAATGGCGTGTATTAAACGTCGGCTAGCAAAATGGCTAAAGCTGGAATAATCTTTGATAGAGTTGGCGACAAGATGTAAACTAATAGTGAGCCTGCCAAAACGTAAACCCTAAAACATTCAAACACTCAGCATAAATACTTGAACACATAACTTAAATACTCTCTCACCTTCCATTCTGGTCAGGATTAAGAAAAGAAAAATTTACAGTTAAGGCTTAAGTCATAAAAACTGGTTAATTAATGTAAAATTTCCACCTTTCCTTGAAATGGTTTCACGCATTAAAATCCAACATACTAAAATGTTGCAATACTACGATATACTGAGTACCTGATTAAATAATTTTGGTAAATGAAGTTGGACAGTCATTAGTTTTTAATTATTTTTTTTTTAGCTCGAGACGTGAAAAATGTGTCATACGCGTTGAATATGTTTCTAATTAGACCACGAAGATATGCGGAAAAGAGGGAGAAAGTACCTTATATACCGTCCATTTTTTAAAGCGCGACTGGTGATTAGGAGACCCAATCGTCAAATTCTGGTGGAGACGAACTATCCTCCACTAACTTTTTTTTTTAGTTCGGGTTCAACCGAACGATAATTAGGTTTTTTTTTTATGCTGGAGGTGATGATTGTGCAATGCCCTGGCAGGAACTCGAACCCTGGACCTATCGAGTATGGTTCCAGTTACACGGTGAAAGCATGCGGAAAGGAGCGAGAAAATACCTTATAAATTTAAACCTGTTTCTCTACGTGTATACCTTCTTGATTGATTTTATAAGGAATATTGAATCTTACGTACTTTATATATACGAAAAATCATGAAAATCACATGCTATTAACGCGTATGAGTTAAAAAACAGCAAATGAGCTTATTACTGGTTTCTCATAGCTTTATTCATTCGGGTATTAATGGGCATAATGCATACTGTGATAAATGCTACGGAAGGTTTACCATGCTCCAAAATCATTAAAAACTGTCTTTCCTTCTTTATCGTCTTCTACAGTATTCCATGTGCTAATGGAAGGGTGTTTTGTTTGAAGAAAAGTTTAGGAAAACATTGTTGGTTGCAGTAAATAAAAAAAATAAAATAATTAATGATTTTTAACATTACACTGGTGTGTAATGTACAGTTTCCAGCAGTGCAAGAATAGTAATTTTTTTTTTTTTTTTTTTTTTACCTTGGAAGAGAAACTTAATCAGTACAAATTTTAAAATTAGTATTAATGTAAAATTTAAAACTCGAAAAAAAGAAAGTAAGCTTATAAGATTTATTTCGGCGCACGAAACATAAGAAATTAACGATGGCTTCATCGGAATTCGAGCTTCGGCATCTCCCCATCGCCATCCGGTCATGCTTTCCAATTGCAGCAGGAACGCATCTAAAAAGAAGAAAAAATTCCTAACACACCGTTCGTGCATTAACACCTGTATTAACAGTAATTTTATGTTATTTCATTAATTTTTTACTTGTACATATAAAATATTATAGAATTTAACCGTACGTGCTGTCATAGAGTAAGTGATAGTACGCCTATGTAGCAGCTGGAAAGTATCAAGTGGAAAATAGTTGATTTTTTATGTTTCTTAACCTAAAAGGCGTAGTCTTAAAAATGGGCACTGTAATTAGATATGGTTGAAGAGAAGAAGTCACCATTTTATTATTTTTTTTCAAGTGGCATCGTTGGCGCCTTTACCCGTCGCGCTTTAAGTAAGAGAATATATGAGAGTTGCCTTCTGCCGGGCTCGCTCTTTTGCTTAAGTGGTAACTTGTCTAGCTAGGAGTCTAAAAAACCTTTTCTTACCAAATACCAGTCCGCAAATAGTTTATTTCTCATGTTACCTCCCTCTCTAAAAATTCTATATGTCTATATGCAACCCACTTCCATACCTCTAATGTTTATACAATTTCTGCTTCTGGCAAGAAAATCAAAACCTGTTGCTATTAACTTAAGTACACATTAAAAGTATATTAGTTACGTTAATATCGCAATAGAAAATGTTGAAACTCATGTAAACATCTATGCTTAGTTATTTGTATTTTATTTGCTCCACGAGTGACCGAATGATAAAGATTGCTGAATGGTGGATCTTCGACCTTATTTCAATCACAAGTGAAGGTGGTGGCTGCGTGGTTGTCTTTTTGCGTATCTAAAATACAAGGCCAGTTTTTCTTATAAGCTCCTACCGAAGCAGATTGTGCCCGTGAGCTTTGAAAAATTCAATAATAATTTAATAAAGCATTTATTTTTTAATTATATATACATATGTTACTAATGTGAAACGTAATATTAAAAAATTTGCATTTATTTCGTTATGGCGTAGAGAATGAAAATTGTTTTGCGTATCCCTGTTCAGGGTGACCCATATTAATCGCGCACATTAAATTTTAAAATGTTGTGAAAGATCCAAAGTGGATATTAAATGCAAATTACTTAAACAGTTAACAACTTTATATTATAAGTGATATATTGAAATTTCAGTTGCAGTTTATGCAGTCAGTTTAAAAACCATTGTTGGTGAAAGATGAATACGAGTTTTCCTCAAGCAGATAGAATTTAGGTAATAAAGCATTGCTTGTATAATATTCTTACGTGACGTTTAGAAACATTTGTGATTCTAACAAGATAATGCCCAGTGACCTGATTTCGATAAACTAGCATTCTAAACTAATTTCGATAATTATAAACTGATTTCGATAACTAAACATTCGAAATGAAGTATACGCTCTCTCAGCTTGGACTAAATGGAGGAAGTCGAAAGTAAAAATGTGCAGTAAAATTCACCATCAAAGGACATGAGAAGGGTAGCATGACAATCAAATTTATGCGTTGCGAAGGAATGCTCAATTATAAAAATGTATTTTATTAGAAAAGGTTTCATCGTTCTTACACCAAACAAACGGTTCTTAAAGCTAATATCTTTACCTAAAACTGAAATTTCATTTAACAAACTATTTGTAACAGTATAGGGGTCCATCCGTTGAAACAATTTGCCATTAATATCCATTTTAGAATTTCTATAATTTTTTTTTAAGTTCGAGATGTGTGACTTTTAGATCACCATGTATAATAAATGTTTCCCGTGTGATAATCTGTTTGTATGTGAGACGAAAAGCTTCCGCTTGAAAGCGTAATTTACAGCAGAGTTTGAAGAGCAATCCAGAAGTCATAAATCGCAGAATTATTAGAAATTTTATGCATATCGATTACATATATTACTTTTCCATTTCCCTTTTGAATGGAAAATTGACTATTAAAGTGAATATCAATTCTTAAATAATTAACCTGAGTTTCGTAAATCTTTATATGTTGCTAAATTTGTAATAAGTAGTGAAACATTTTTGACGTAGCATTCTCTATAAATAAAACTGACATAAACTTGGATTAGATTGAAATTAATCTGTATAATTCCGGTCTCAAATCAATTAAGGAGTATTTTAAAAGTTTCAGATACCTTTGAATATTTCCAGTTTTAAAGTTTGTAGTTCTTTTTAAGGTAGAAGAACTATATGTAGTACCCTGAACAACACACTGAAATTCAACATCACGTCATTTGGTAAGCATTCGCTTCACGAACATATGACTTTCGAAGACTTCAGAAATGCTGTCTTCTCTGGAAAATGTCGAGACTTTCTAAATTATGTCTCCGAAGTCTGGATGAAAGATGACGGTAAACTTTGCTCTTTTATTGACTTAAAGCACGTTTTCAGTCTCAATTTCTCTAAGATTCAGTTTCTTGTCTAAAATCACGAAGTACTTTTCCCAACACGCAAAGTCCTCACGCAATTTTCGGCAATTCCGGAAGTTGACGATAGTTTCTCCTCTGATCTAATTTTCATTTTCCGGATACAAATAAAAGAATGCCTGAAAAGCTTAAGTAAAAGCGTAACTTACCTTATAGGTTACTGGAACACCCATTCCGTTAAATACGAGTTTGTGCAGTTTAATTGCGTTTAGGTTTAGGACGTTATTCATACTAAACATTTCGCCTATAAGCTTGGCCGTGGGAAATGTGAAAGATTTGTGAACAGTACTGACTACGTAGCCTTCCGCGTTTATATATTTTCTAGATTTTTTAGGAATTTAAAAAAGCTGTAAAAGCTCTTTTAAACACATTGTGCATCCTTCAAATTGGAATGGAATCTTCGAGAGTGCGAAATATTTGAATATGTATATTGTTGTTAAAATCAGTTAAGGAAACCAGGAAATAACGAATTCATTAGAGAAACATTTTAGCGACTTTAACTTGGTCATCAGAAAATGACGAACAGTTTGAATGAAGATGTCTTTAGTTGTTATAGAGGTAAGATTCTATTAAAAATGATACGTTTCCAACGTATTTGTTGCAAGAATATGCTTTTTCGCATTCTTCTTAAATATTTAATATGGAATAATTTAAATTATCCTTGTTGTATTTTAAATATAAACCGATTTACATTTAAACTTTGCTTGCCCGAAGGAACATATACGTATATATATGTTCAGCCGCTATTTGTGTTACTTCAGTGGAAGAAACAAACCTCGTTTCCTGTTGTTACGTTGTGTTTTAAGAACAATTTTCATACGCCGGATTAACTTCGTGTCTCTGTCTCATAACCTTATATTTTAGCTGTTTTGATGTGCATAGTTCCAGAGTTATTGCAATTTAGAAAAAGAATGAAAACTATTTTTGCTATATTTAAAGATAAATACATTTATTTAATTTTGCAATAATTAATTTGTGATAAGTAATTTTGTGATCATTTAAGTTTGTTCATTTAATTTTATCTGTTAGAATAAATGTAAAACTTCTACTGTTAAACGTAAAAATAATTACGTTGGACTTATAAGACATAAATATATAACAATTTAAAATATAGAAAACTGAGATACTTGCAGTCAGGTCGGTGTAATATTTCCTTATGTTCGTTGACGAATGTTTTAAACGTAATACAAATGAATACGCCATACGCACCTGAACAGGTCGGTAGCTTCCAGATATTTTATGTATATTCAAAGATGGAGCAACTGATGTTGGCAAGTTGGCAGAAGCGAGAGCAGAAATGTTACATATTCAGGATGAGAATTAAATTCAGAATGATTTAGTCTCAGTTGAGATTTGTTCCCGTTGGTTTATTTTACGTTTTAGTTTCCAAGTAAAATGTCATTATTGGCTGAAATGTTATGGCGTCATTAAAGTTAAGAATCATGTCACACGTATTAATTTTGAAATGACGCAGTCCAGAGAGATTTATTATAAAAAATGACTATGCTTATAAACGAAAAAGAAAATAACTAAATTTAAATGCAAATTATTGCAAATTATTGTAAGATAGAAGTTTTGACTTCTTTACTTTTTTTACTCGTATTCTAGTGGGTTTTTTGAACGGGTTACATGTATAGTTTCGTTAATTTTCAGCAAAAGAAAGGTGAAATTGACCCAGAGAACTTGAGTTCTTAATTACTAATTTGGATAAGGTAGAATCGCTTGCAAATGAGACGTTCGTTTCCGACCCTTACGTAAGAGATTTGGCAAAGGTGAAAATAGACGAATAATTTAGTTGCATTATAAAGTAATTAACTTGAAATAATGAAGAACTCCACACGGATTAAAAACTTAAGAAAAGAAAAAGAGGTAGATTTATATAACTTATTTTATAAATCACTTGACAGCAAAAGGAAATACTACATTTGGATTGGATCTCAGAGTAAAGACCCATTTGTATAATGCAATTACAAAATTTTTAACTGCTTAAAAGTGATAAGTAAAATGTTAATTACATCATAAACATTAAAAACTCGAATACCATTTTTGGTGTCTTAAAAGTAGTACGGAATATTCAGGCTCATATTACGTTCTTCTTGATGCCTTCATTTTACATAAAACTAGTTTAGAATAATAGTAATGTAATGTCGTCGTGATATACATGATTTTCTAACAAATTCACATGCATACGTAAAAGACGAAGAAAAAGCGTATTTTTAGAATTAATTCCATTATTCTACATTTAAAATGAATCCTTTAAAATCGCAGATTATTCCATCTATCAATATAATTCAAAGCGAACCCGTTTACTTATTAATGCAAAAGAAGCGTTTTTAAAAACTCTTTTTGACCAATTCACAGAAATGCTATATTATTATATAAATTTAATTTTAATACCTTTCCCTTTTAAATAACTTTTAATATAATTGACTGTAAATGTGATCAGTATCTTTGGGTACGATCAAGAATATATATAGAAAAAGCCTAACTTTTATTAGTCTTAATTTTTCTTTTTGATTTGATAATTCATTTTAACTTTTTCTGTCCTTTAAAACACGTTCAGCGTAGCGCCGATATTGCTGTGATTATCGTTCAGCCTGCCCCGAGCGAACCTTGGAAGTATGTGCAGAGGATT